ATTAATCTTTAATTGGCCATCATAATATATAAACTAACATGTAATTTTTTAACAATGGATACATTGCCAAACAACAACAAAATAATCCATATATGCTCGAGTATGATGTTGATGATCGATTTAAAATCAAATTTGCTAAGTGGTTTAGTGAATATGTGAGTATCCTCATTTTAGTTTAGGTTTTTTGAATGGTTTTTTTTTTTTTTTTTACTTTAACTAAACTTCATGTCATGGATCTCGATTTTTCAGAAAAAATATGCACAATCAACTTGTATGACGGACCAACTCATAAAAGATCTTGGAAAAGACCCTTTACATACTCGTAAAATCATATCTAGAGTATATTGTGAATGGATATAGGTTTCACAAATAAGATCATGGTGTAATAGAGCAAGTGTGTTTAGTGAAGTGTACACTAAAGAATCTAATTACAATATAGATGAGAGTGATTATTATGAGATATTGACCAAAATTCGCAAATAGTGCATCCTGCACTACTAATCAAAAGAGCAATTATGTTCAAATACAATTGGTTCAATCCTATATCGAATGGAACAAAGGTTTATCCACAATATAGACTAACGGAGATAAACTATAGAAAGAGTTTCAACATATACAAACCCTTTGTTCTAGTGATACAAATAGCTCAAGTATATTGGTGGGGAGTTTGTAAGATAAAAACTAAGGTTTGTTGTTGATTTGCTTGAATCGTTTGTTGGAATCCAATAGAATTTAGATTCATTTCAAGAGGATGATTCAAAAATCCAACATAATTTTATCCATGATGATGGTGAAGAGTAGTTATTAAATGATCCACATGAATCGTTTATAGATATAAAAATAATTAAATCTAATGAAGAATATGAGAGTGAATATGTATCGAATCAACTAAAGAATAGGAAAATTTAGAAGATTGTTATGACAGCTTGTAATTTAAGAATTAATTGTATTCATTAAATTATATTATTTTATCTATTATTTATTCTTTTATGCTTGTTGTGCATTTTAGACGTGTTGAATTTTATTTTTTTTAATTCATAATAATTTATAATATATTTTTTTCGAATTATTAATCATTTTTTAAATTATTTTAGGTGTTATTCTTAAGTCATGTCTCTTATATTGGGCAAATATGGTTGTGGTGTTAGTGGTCACGGCTCTAATATTAATCATACGACTAATAGTGATAGTGTACGTGGATGTGGCACTATTAATCCAAGGGTCACGTACGTAATAGTGGTGCTAGGACATCTACGTCTCCTCAAGTAGTGCCCTCACCAATAGCACCCCCTACCGTGGATGATCCTACTATGGTTTTCTCTACTCCAACAAGTTCTACTAGATCCGATGATGGATGAATCATTTGGTTAGTGAATAACCGGTAAGCGATATATTTTACATACGATAATTAGTTTTATATTTTCATATATTATTTTGGAATCATTAATTCACTTATTTATTATTCATTTTTTTTATTTGATAGTTTGGTTCTATCAAGCAAGTGCTTCATAAAAATCATTGTAATTTTTAAGGAGCGATTGGATGTCGCCGGCTCCGTATAAACTTTCATATTTAATGGATGTTTTGTTTATGTGTCAAGTTAGGAGCACGTAAATCAAGGATATAAAGTTTCTTGCATGTTTTTAATTGACTCAAAATGTTTTTTTCTTGATGTACTTTTATCATATCCTCTTTATACCAAGCTTGTGTTGATTTTTTTTTCTTTTTGTTTTTTTTTTCTTTTCTTTTCTCTTTTTTTTTTTTTTTAGGGGGGGGAGCAAACTTTCATTATAAAATGGATAAAAATAAAGAGAAAGAGCCAATGATCTAGAATTATACAGAGGTTATACATGGCATAAGATAGTATTAGAAAATGCATATGTTACACACACACATACACCTTTTGTCTATTTATTTTCTTCTTCTTCTTCTTCTTTTGATGAAGCAAGCTTTTATTATTGAATAGATTAAAATAAAGAGAAAGAGCAAATGATCTAGAATTATACAGAGGTTATATATGGAATACAATAGTATTAGAAAATGCACATGTTATACACTCACGCACACACATAGCTTATGTCTATTTTTTTTTTTTTATGAAGCAAGCATTTATTATTGAATAGATAGAATTAAAAAGAAAGAACCATTAATCTAGAATTATACAAAGGTTATATATGGTATAAGATAGTATTAGAAAATATATATATATATATATATATATATATATATATATATATATATATATATATATATATATGACAGATATAATGATTGAGTGATGATGATCATTGTATAAAAAATAGGTTTATATTTTATATAACAAATATAGGTATGAGGTTGAACAGATACTAGTTTTTTGATCATATATCACATTTTGGACTCATATCTTTTTCTTTTAGTGTTATTATAAAATAATTGTGTTGAATAAATATGCATCTCTCTCGTTATTCTCCTTGTAATTATCAATTTTTTTATAAAAAAAATTTAGAGTTTTTAATCATTTTTATGTTTTATGGATTTTTTTAGGTGTTTTTATGTTATTTAAATATATTTAAGTTTCTATTTTTATTTTTATTTTTTAGGTTTTTTGAATTTAAAATTTCTTTTGAATGGTTTGTAAGACATTTTGGTCTAAAAATGAGAAAAGAAGAACATGAGAGAAAATATGAATGTATAAAGACATAAGAGAAATATGAAAAAAAAATGCAATCAATATATAAATATAGATTGATCAATTAACCCACATATATACATATATATTGTGTTTGTGAGTGTGTGTTATATAAATTGTTTAGCATCATTTTTTTTTTTTTCATTCGTGAAGGATTTTGTTATAATTACAAATATCAACATTTAATACATTTTGTAGTTGAAAGGTGCTCTTAAAGCAAGTTAAAATTTAAAATTTAATATAATTATCTACATGATGTTAGAAATTAGTTTCTACATTAGTTTTCAACTTTTGTTTAAAAAAGTGATTTTAGAAGCAGCTAATTGTTGTAAGGCTCCTCACCATCTAGGACGCTAAAGGAAAAAAACAAAAAAAAAAAGAGAGAGAGAGAGAGAGAGAGAGAGTTAGACTTGGAAAAATTGATCTTTTAGATAATTAAATAAAGAGGATAAGTTAGGTGAATCATCAAGTTAATAACAATTGCAATGATAGTTGTATTGTTGCATAAAGCCTGTAAATCAAGATTTTCAAGAGAATATTTTGACGAAAAAGAAATCTTTATGGGTTTGGGAGGGTGTTTCCGATGCACTATTTTAAGTAGTTCATAACTTTGAAAAAAAAATTGCATATTAATATGTCATGTTATAAAAAATTTCGATAACGAATCATCTATCATTTAGTGTTTATGAAAACAAATCTTATGTGCTTGATATAATTAGAAAATAAGATTTGCCAATTTCATTTTTTTTAATATGTAGTTTATTAAGGTTTTATCCTTACAACAAAAGAAAAATGTATTACTTAATGATGTTCGTTAATGTATAGTCGATTCATATTTAATATAATAATAAGATGCATATAGTTAGTTCCATCTTTTAAATGTTGTTATTTCATTCATTAAATGGATGCATCTTTGTGTAAGTTTGTAATTCTAAATTGAATTTAGGTACATAGTTGAATGTCGCTAATTCCTTATTCTAGTTTTTTTAATATTTGCATAACTAGAAAGAAAATCATTTAACAATTAATTATCTTATAAAATTTTTCTTTTCATATAACATGATGATATGTGATAGTTTGACCGTTTATCGTTTATAGGTATATATGTTGATATAACTATCCAACTCCTTATCATTAATCGTTTATATGTATATATGTGGGTATAATTAGTAAAGATTTTAAATTTTCAAATTTATTTTAAACTCTTTGCTAATTATACCAACATATATACCTATAAATGATTAACGATAATCGGTCAAACTATCACATATCACCATGTAAAGTTGAAGAATTTAAAATCTTTGCTAATTATATCAACATATATACCTATAAACGATTAACGATTAATGATAAACGGTCAAACTATCACATATCATCATGTTATATGAAAAGAAAACTTTTATAAGGTAATTAATTATTAAATAATTCTCTTTTTAGCTATAATTAGCAAAGATTTTAATTTTTTTAAAAAAATTCAATAATATATATATATATATATATATATATAATCATTCAACCTCACACCTATATTTGTTATATAAAATATATACCTTTTTTTTTATCAATTATACAATTATCGTCATCTGTCAATCATCATATCTACATTTCATTAAGAACATAATATATATACATATATGACTATCATTGTATAATTGATAAAAAAAAATAAGTATATATTTTATATAACAAACTTAGGTGTGAGGTTGAATAATTAAATACTAGTTATTCGATCATAGATGACAATTTGGAATCATATCTTTTTCTCTTTTTTTTTTTGTGAAAAATATATATTAAATTGGTATGATCAACTAGTAACTAGAGTTCAAGCAACAATTAGTATTCTCAATTTGAACCTTAAAATTAAACTATAAATAATTAACAAATAATGGATAACTAACAACAAATGATTTAGATAACTGATAAGGTCTATCAAAGTAGGCTAAGTATATGAGCACATTATGGTAATGATGCATATAAGGAAGCATGTCCATGTACAGATTTGCATAATAAATATAGTTTCAAATAAAAATTTGAAATTAGATATTCTGTGTATAGAGTCGGATATCATTTTAATAAGCATAAAAGTTTTAAGCTGGAAAAAAATTAATTCCTTATTTGGGTTTTTTTTTTTTTATCATCATATGTATAGATTTTATATAAACTCCCTTCATATTGTTTGAAAGGTTTTAATATATTATTACAAACCAAATCCGAAACATTGATTTGCTCTTCATTTCAAGTAAACTAAAGATCACTATTCCAAAAACCCAAAACAAAATACAGGTTGTTAGATTGGGGATACAAACCCTTTCTATTGCAAATTAAGCAGATGGATCCCACAAGAATATTGCAGGAGGCTCAACGCACCTTTACCAATGATGTTGAGATCGACGGGTTAGAGACACAAACTGTTGTTTCTACTCTAAATCAAGAAACGATTGCTCAATCTTCTAGCGAAAATCTGTCAAAACTGTCCCAAGTGATTAAAGACCAAATTAAGGTAATATATATATAGTATATCTTCTTTTTATTTTTGAAGTTCCTCACAATTTCATTTTTAATATATATATATATAATGTTTTACAATATGTTAAATGATGTCTAACTAATCTTATAACCTTTGTAGGTGGGAAAAAAAGGTTAGTAGAAATGAATTGGATATCGTCAAACATAGAGCTTAATAATTTTTCCGACTTAATGAATCCAACAATTACTTGCTTTCCAAAAGGTTGGGATGCTGCTACTTTACAAGAGGTACATACTTATTATAAAGTGAATTATTTTATATAAACACATATTGCTATTTGTCATTTTTCTTTTTGTATAAAAATAAGCATCCATGTTTGCATATTAGTAGCCAATTTCATTAAATGAAGGTATTAATTATACAATATATTAATTCATACACATTCACACAATATATCAAAGAGAACAAGCTTTGTTTAACAAAGTTTGATAGTATAGTCGAAGGCATGATGATATTTTCTATTGCAGTCTTTCACACAGCATGCTTTGAAACGAAAAGGAACTAAATCAGTCTTGGTTGGTTTGTTGCCCTTATCATTTGAAATTCCCGAAGAATTTCTTATACCGGATATGGATGAGGTACTAGGTTTTATTCTCAAATTTAAAAATATATTTTCATAAATTTTATTTCTTTTAAAACTTACAGATTAATATGGTTGACATGTCTATAACAGGTGATATTGCCGACGTTGGATGCACATGCAACGCCACATCATAACAAAAAATTGACTTTGTTTCCTTTCTCCGAGAGAATAAATGTTTGGATGTTTGAGCGTAGACGACGAGTAGATGAGAGACATGATCTGGTAATTTCTTTATTTTTCTATTAGATGTGAATGATTATTCTTCCATTGATAAACTTTTATATTTAATGGATGCTTTGTGTATGTGCAACATTAATTAGGAGTATGTAAATCGAGAATATAAAGTTTCTTGCATGTTTGGAAATGTATTTTTCTTGATGTACTTTTGGCATCTCCTCCTTATATCTAGCTTGTGTCTTTTTTCTTTTTTCTTTTTTCTTTTTTTTTTTTTTTTTATTGAATAGATAAAATTAAAGAGAAAGAGACAATGATGTAGAATTGTGCAGAGGTTATATATGGCATGAATGGTATTAGAAAATGCATACGTTGTAAATTTTATTTGTTTTGAATGAAAAAATTAACCTCAAGATTTGATGTTCCTTGTAGTACTATCACCATAAGAAATCAAAGATGACATTTCGTTCAACCAAGGAGGTACTCAACTTTATACTGTATAATGCTTATCCAGACAAAAAGCAAATAACTAAGAAGAGTGCACTGGAAGAAAATCCTCTGGTAAGTATATACACTCACACACATGAATAAATATTTATATATAATCTAGTTACGTAAATTGTTATTACACTAAAATTGCAATGTCTTGTTCAGGCACAAGGATCTGGAAAGAAAAGAAGAACATTTTCTCATGAAAAAGAAGCATCCTCAAGTTCTATTTTATGCAGAAAATCAAACAGCATCCAAATAGAAGAAGGCTTTATAGAACTAAACGTCTTCCGAACAAAAGATGATTTTACAGAATCAAAAATCATCATCCAAAAAGAAAAGGATTTTCCAAAATCAAACGTCGTCGAAACAGAAGATGATTTTATAGAATTAAACGTCATCAAAACCGAAGAGAATTTTATAGGCTTTAAGGAAGATTCATATAAAAAACTTCTGAATTATGAAAAAAAGTTGCACCAGATAATTTAGATATCTCTGACAGTGAGGCCACAGAGAGTGATGAAGATATATATACAGCACGTCAACTTTTTCAACATCCTCTCGGTGAGGAAACTAAGGAGTTGAAGAGTAATTACCTTTGCTCTTTATGGTAATTACTAACAAGATCATCATGCTATGTTTATTCTATAGTTAATATTTTTCAATATTAATTTGTAGGAAACAAAAGAGAAGGAACTTACCAACCAAGCGTGCAAGGAGAAAGTAGTCAATACCCATTTGCCTGCCAAGCTCTAGAGAATTCAGGAGATGGGAAAGAAAATAAAACTGTCACTAATAAGAACGTTTCTGAGGAAGAAATTGGAGCTGATGTCATACAAACTCCTACTACATGGGCTGTGATAGAGAAGAAAGACAACGTAACTTCAAGTTCAAAACCTGTAGAAGAAAATACAGGAAAGAAGGGAGACGTGGAAGATATATTTGGTCAATTAGGTGACCTTCAAGATGCTTCAGTAGCAGAACAGGTCCTGAGTAAGCAATTCAATCAAGAAGATGATGCGTATAAAGACCTCTATTTTTTTTAGAGTGATACAAACCTTATTTTAAAATTCTGTTTTTATAGTACTTTTTATTTGATAATTAATGTTTAAGAAACACATTTTGGTTGGTTTCTTCTAAGTATCTTTTTTTATCCTATATTTATTTTTCTTCCTGATTCAGTAATGATATGCTTTATAACATTTTGAACTACAAGATTTAAGCAATTTTTTTTTTTTAACTTGATTAAGTACAAGTTGATGTCAACTTTATTAAGATATTATTACATTGGATATGAAAAATATTATTATCATCTTTTGTTTTTCTTTCCATTTAAAGTTTGAAATTGATATTTAAATAATACATTATAATCTACTTCGAAACTAGATAATTTTTCGCACTACGCTACGGATCGGGCACAATAGGTGAAATTATTTGAAAAAAGTTATTATAATGTAATGGATTTCGTCACGTTACAAATTTAATAAATCTATTGAAATCAAAGAAAAAAATATTCACCTAACTTATGATTTTTTAATCAAACTTTTGTATTTAATTAATTATTTCATTTCTTAAAAAAGATTTGCTTCTTAAAAAATTACGATTTTGTTTTTTTGCCATGCATGCATAGATTCTTAAACAAAATTTTATAGTAGTCTAAAATTTTGTATTTAATTAATTATTTATGTTTTTCTTTTTAAAAAGATTTCCTTGTTAAAAGATTTTTTTTTTTTTTGTGATGCATGGATTCTTAAATAAAAATGTATAATAATCTAAAATGTAAGTTTAATTTATCATAAATCCTAATATATATATATATATATATATATATATATATATATATATATATATATATATATATATTGTAGTGAGAAAATAAAGAAACAATTATTTTTAAAAATTGCATAAAAATTTTAAGATTTAAAATAATTTTTTATAATATTGATGAGAAGATGAATTTTTAAAAGTATGTATATTGGGTTTATATACATATATTCTTCAAATAATAAATAATATTAGCATAAAAAGTATGGCATTGTTGGATGTTGTTTTTAAAATATACTTTTTATTATTTTATTTGAAAAGAATTTATTTCAAAATATTCATTTAAAAAGTAAATATTAAGTGTTTTTTTTTATATGCACAATCAATTTAATTAAAAACTTATAAAATAAATTTTGATATTTAATTATTTATAAATAATATGAGAGAAAAAGGTTTTTATAGTGCTCAACCTTTTAATTTTTTTCTGTTTTGGTGCCCAACCATTGATTTCTAATGGTTGACTATCCAAGTTTGAGAAAAAGGTTATTCATTAAAACAAAAAAAAAAAAAATTAAAGATTGGGTACCAAATATGTAGGTTTTTAAAGAAATGTATTTTTTCCAGATTGCAAAATTAGTCAAACAATTTTTAGCAAATATTTTTCATATCATACTCGTGGCATTTTTTTTACTTATCAATGGTAATTTTTAATACTCTTTATCAATTAACAATTACTTTTTAAAAATTCTAAATCCTTTTACATGTCTAGACAAATTTAAAATTATGTCATTTGATCCAAATATATATTTAAGGTCCGATTAAGATTAAATTTAGCAAAAGAAAAGACATATTATAAATAAAACTAGAGTAAAACCATTGGTTTTACTATTCATTCACTATTTGAAATACTATTCACATACACTCATTTCACTAATCTTACACTCAAAAGCATTATTTCTTTCACTATACAATGGTATTTTGGTAGTTTTCAAATATTTTTAATACATTTATAATAAAATTTTTACTAACATTGCACTTTGCTCTCTCTTTTTTAAATATGATTTTTTCAATCCAGAGAAAGTAAAACCATTAATTTTATTATTCATTCACTATTTAAAGAACTATTCATCCACACTCATTTTACTATTCACACACTTAAAAGTACTATTTCTTTCACTATGCGAGTGGCATTTTGATAGTTTTCACGTATTTTTAATACATTTATAATGAAATTTTTACTAATATTACACTTTGGTCCATCTTTTTTAAATATGGTTTTTTCAATCCATAAAAATATTTTTTATTTGGTTTCGGTCCCTCTTTTTTGTTTTATTTTTGTCACTTTGGTCCTTTTTTTCTCCGATTTTTTGATCAAAAATTTTAAGGCAAAAAAATGTTTAAAAAACATTACAAAATAAGTTTTTAGCTAAGAATCCATTGGTTTTAACATTCTTTATACTATTAAATAATTTTTTTATAAACAAATCATGAAAAATATAAAGAATAATCAATCAAATACAAAATTTGATATATTTTGATAGATGCATAATATAACACGAGATATCAAAATGAAATAATTTTTAAAAATAATTTTATGTATTTTGTCGGACTTGTAGCATAGCGCATGTAAAAAATCTAGTAAGATCTCATTATGATTGCCATTTGTGAAACAAAAGGTTGATCAATGGAGAAAGTTACAAAAAAAAAAAAAAAATTGCTTCCTCTATCTAGGGAGAAAATTGACCAACATATCATGGGTGGCGTAACCTTGTTATAGCCAATAACTTGCTCAACTTCTTATAGTAAGTCTGTGATGGGATAGAATCGACATAAATAAGTTTAGTGATCAAGCTTTTTAATTTGAGTATTTAAAGTACAATATTTATTGTAGTGTTAACGATACTAATAGAGATAATAAGTAAAATGTAAATTAAGCTAAAAAGTAAATGTATTGTTAAAATAACTTGTGTAATTAGCAAAAAAAAAAATAAGAAAATATAGATATACGGGTAATTATTGATGCTTTTATAATTTAAAATTAACATGATTTTTAATATCAAAAGTGTGTGTGTGTATATATATATATATATAAGCACAAGAAATACATCAAATCTATTTGTAATAAAAGAAAAAATATATCGACTACAAGAAAGAGATAAACATTTGATATGAGAAAATTAAAATAAATTTCTTAAGAAAACTATATTTTTTATGTCCAACCATTAATATGTTTTTTCTATTTCAATGCGTAACCTTTGATTTTTTTTTTTTTTTTTAGTGCCCATAGCTACTCTGAATGTATGATATATTGATATGATAGAGTTGACCACCATGTGGTATTTTTGTGACCTCCACGTGGCGGATCTCACTAGACATGCTAGCAAAATCAAGATTTAGGTGACCTTAGGCACCAAAATTAAAAAAACAAAAATAAAGCCTCGGTAGTCAACCATGAGAAATCCACAATTGGGCACCAAAAAATCCTTTTTCTCATAATATAATAGCAATTTTATTATATTTTTATCGCTCGAACATTTGGTCAAGTGAATTGCACATAACATATAAAAAAAGTATACAAAATCAATACAAGCACCTACAGATTTGAGTCGTTATTCAATATAAAAAAATTCTTCAAAAACAAATCCAACCATCAAATAAGCAATTTTTTTAAGAAAAGCATAAATGCAAGTTCCAATTCATCAAAAATCCAAAAAAATATATATGTATAAATTTAATTATCTATTTTATAAGATTGTATCGAGAAAATAAAGCAATAGTTAATTTTTAAAAAATTTCCCAAAAAATTTAAGATTTAAAATATTTTTTATAATATTGAAATTTTAAAAGTAAGTATAGTAGGTTTATATATTTATATATACACACACACTCAAAATAATAAATAATATTAGCATAAAAAACTCTCTTTAAAAACTATGGTACCATTAGGTGTTTTTTTAATAATATATTTTTTACTACTTATTTGAGAGGAGATGATTTCAAAATATTCATTTAAAAAATAATAACTATTAAGTATTTTTGTGTATATGCACAATCCATTTGTAATTAAAAAATAAGCAAATTTCTTTTTAAAGAAAGCATAAAAGTGTCTTTAGACTATAATTTTGGGCACAAAAATACAATCACCATATATCCTTTTTATTGCACTCGTTTTGATATTGGCCAAGATATTTATCCAAAGAAATCAGCTAAAAACAATGAAAAAGAAGGTCCTTAAATTATAAAGTAAGTTATAAATTAGTCTCTCTTGTTTCAAAAAGTGAATTAATTAGTCTTTTTAGTTTCAAAAACTAATTATGTAATTCTTTTAATCGGTGTTCACCATGACTAATTTTTTTATATATATAAAATATCATCTTTTCTCATCTATATATTCATATTCTCACTTATTTTTTATTCCTTTTCTACCTGTTAAAATAAAAATTAAAAGAAATTGAAAAATAACAAAAATGACTAACTAATTAGTTTTTGAAATCAAAGAGACTAATAAATTTGTCTCTTGAAACAACAAAAAATAATTTATAATTTACTCTTGAATTACAATTGCTCCTCTGATGGAAATAAGGAGGGAATGAATGGCATAAGCTTTAAATGCTCTGTCAAAAGCAAAGGAAACAATAGTAAAAAAGCCAAAGAAGTAAAAGCAAATTAGTAAAGGAAAAATATAGAATTTTACAAATTCACTAAGTGCCATGAAAAAAGTTAAGAGTAAAACAGAAGGGCCTTTATATACAAAGCAAAAAAAAAAAATTAATAGCACGTAAAACCCAAAACTCGAATTTAAGAAAAAAAATTGTGATGTGAATAATTAAATGAGATAGTGTGAATAGTTCATGCACAATAAATATCTTATGTTTTTTAGTTTCTTTTGTAATATTAAATCTCATATAGACAAATAAAAACAAGAGTTGTTCATAGCACTCATGAAAAAGAAAATTTTATGAAACTTGAATTGATTCACATGAGATAGGCCACACATATAATCTTTATAAAATTTTTTAACAGCAGCTTTTGGCATATTAGGTACATAAATTCAAGTTTGGATAGTCTAACTTGTCTTATGTTACCGTATATCTTATATTTATATCAATTCTTCTTAATATCATGTTCAATATAAGTTGAAGATAATAAATTTACTTATAATCATAACTATAGAGAAATTCAACAAAAAAAAATGACATTTAAAGGGCCTCATCGATAAAGAATACGAATCACAAGTTGCTTGTTCATGTTGTTCCTAGCACACAAAAGGAACATAATTAAT